TTGGAGGGTTTTTTTTGAGACAGGGTCTCCCTGTAGCCCCAACTGTCCTGGAACTCACTATGTAGACCAGACTGGCCTTGAACTCACAGAGATCCACCTGCCTCTGCCTCCCAAGTGCTGGGATTAAAGGCATGCGCCACCATGCCTGGCTAGTTATGGATGTTTTTATTATCTTTGAAAATGTATATTTTTTCAATTATGCCAGTTTTGTGATGTCCTCTATAATTATAAATGATCTTAGCTTCAAATTTAATCTAGTGGAGCTGAAGAGATGCCTTAGCAGTTAAGAGCACTTACTGCTCTTGCAGAGGATCTGGGTTCAGTCCCAGCAACCATATCGTGGCTAACAACCACCTATACCTCCAGTACCAGGGAATTTGATGCTCTCTTCTCTTCTTCATGGGCATTGCACACAAGCATTGCACTTAAATTACATTCAGGCAATTTGTCACTTATACACATAGAATAATAAATTTAATCTAGTATTTTCATTTCAAAGATTTATCTCTGGCCTTAGTATTTCAGAATTTCATGTAAGTTCAGATCAGCAAATGTAATTGTCTATATGTACTGGCATTATATTGGATACTAAGAATAAAGGCATATTAAGTCACTGTCCTCAGAAAATCCACTTTCTAGCATTGATGAATAATAACAAGGTTCACTTTTTATGACTTTAAAAATATTCATGTATTACATGCTTTGCTTACATTCTGTTACCTGGCTACTTGCTCTTATCTCTCCTGATTACTTTGTAGCATTTTTTTTTTTAGCTTTTCTGTTTTCTGGGCATAGACATTTTCCCTGAATATCACTTAACTAGTAATTTTGGCTAAAGTAGCTTATTGGGTAAATGTATACCATATGTTAGCAAACATTTTGTGTAAAGCATCAGGGGTTAAATATTTTTTGCTTTTTTGCCCACATAGAATCTTTTAGCATTCCTTTCCTTTTAAAAAAATTATTTATTTATTTATTCCTTTAATTACTGGTACTAAGTGACCTGAATACTGCTGTGTAGACCAGTCTGGCTTGAACTTACAGAGATCAGGGTCTCCCTGTAGCCTGGCACTCACTATGTAGACCATAGTGAGATCAGGCTGGCCTTGATCTCACAGAGATTCACCTGCCTCTGCCCCTGGAATGCTGGGACTAAAGGCGTGCAGCACCACGCCCAGGCAATTTTTTTTTTTTCCTCTTTTTGAGACAGAGTCTCCCTTTAGCCCCAGTTGGCCTGGAACTATGTAGACCAGGCTCGCCTTGAACTCACAGAGATCCACCTGCTCTGCCTCCCAAGTGCTGGGATTAAAGGCATGCGCCATCACGCCTGGCCCGGTTCTTTTATTAGTGTTTTACCTATGTGTATTTCATAGATTTGGTTTCTCAGAGTGCTGGTCTATATGATTTCTAGATCAACTGATAACAATTTAGAATCAGACACATTTTACTATTCTCTCTAGATTCATGACTTTGTTATAGTCAAAAGTTTATTTAAAATGTTGTATATATTAACTTTTTGACTTGTTTGAAATTTAAACATGTAAAAAACAGAATATATGATTTCTCAGAGATATTGTCACCTTATGTATGATACTACCGACATTTATTCTTTTCTCTCTGAACTAGGAAAAGTGGGTTGAAGTTGCTTCAATGAAAGTGCCTAGAGCAGGCATGTGCGTTGTAGCAGTCAATGGTCTTCTGTATGTTTCTGGAGGCCGATCTTCCAGCCATGATTTCTTTGCCCCAGGAACCTTGGACTCTGTTGAAGTTTACAATCCTCATTCAGATACATGGACAGAAATTGGTAACATGATCACTAGTCGTTGTGAAGGGGGTATTGCTGTGTTATGAAGTGAAAAGCAAAGAAGTGCAAGGAGCATTTTTGAAAATGTAGGGTCTGACCTTTGGCAAATCAAACATATTTGGTTTCGCTACCCTCTGATTCTATTGATTATTCCATGTAGGTGAGTAGAATGATTTATTAAAAATTTGAATGAGAGTAAGATATAGAATATATCCTAAATTAGTAAAGAGCTCATTAGCCAGCACGGTGGAGGCAGGTGAATCTCTGTGAGTTCAAGGCCAGCCTGGTCTACAGGGAGACCCTGTCTCCAAAAGACCAAAAAATAAAAATAAATAAAGACCTCATACAAATTTGCAAAGCTTGCCAACAATAGAAAATCTGATCATACCCTAAAATTATTCAATTAAGAATAGAATCATAATTATAAAAATTGTTTGGTAGGAACTTCTGGGCAATACTTTATTTGGCTATTCCTGTACTGCAATTCAGGTTGTAAAATACCATATACAATGTAAGAATGATTTCCATGAGATAGTTTAAAGATTTCTATAGTTCATGATTGGTCCAGAGCAGAGTCTAACCTACAGAAAAAAAATCCAGTGAAACTACTTTCACTCAATGGCCGTTTTCACTGGCCCCAAAAATTTTATTGGCAGCAGATATATTAGGAAGGGCATGTAGGAAATATGTAGCTCTTTAGGTAAGTTTCTTCTTGTTGATAGCCTAAGAAAAGATTTTGCATATATATTTTTTTTTATTCTGAGAATGCAAGTGAGAGATTAATAAGTTTTTTGTTTGTTGCTTTGAGACAGTTTCACTATGTTGACCAGGCTGGCCTCAGGTTCACAGAGATCTGCCTGCCTCTGCCTCCCCAGTGCTGGGATTAAAGGCGTGCACCACCATGCCTTGCCTGTCAAGTTCTTGATGGCATTTTTTTTTGTCTTTTTTTTTTTATTTGTTTTTATGTTTTTGTGTGTATTTATGTGTATTTGTGTGTATGTACACCATATGTATGCAAGTGCCAATGGAGGCCAGAAGAGGGCATAGGATCCCCTGGAAGTGGAGTTATAGGCAATTACTAGCTGCCTAGTGTGGGTGCTGGGAACTGAACCCAGATCCTCTGCAAAAGCAGGTGCTCTTTTTTAAAATATTATTTTTATTTTATGTAGATGAGTGGATTGCCTGTATGTATGTAAGTGTATCTATGTCATGTAATAAACGTGGAGATCAGAAAAGGGTGTTGGAACCTCTGTAACTGGAGTTACAGACAGGTGTTAGCCACCATGTGAGTCCTGGAAATTGAACCTGGGTCCTCTGCAAGAGCAGCCAGTGCTCTTAATCGCTGAGCCATTTCTCTAGCCCCTGGCAGTTCTTGATTGAAATAGAATGTAATAGGTCTAAGAGTCCTAGGCAATATTATGTACTTAGACGCTTCTTTATTTTCTAGATAATCACCAAAATTATGTTTGGTTTTAGGAAGAGGGACTTTTATTAGATTATCAAACTGTGAAATTTACTTGTACTTAGGTAAACCTAAGTACTAGCTTAGGATAATACTACTATCTAGCTTGGAGAAGGTTCAATTGTAATTACAGCTGTTTTTGTTGAGACAGAGTCTCACTATGCTGTCCTTGAATGCCCAGGTCCTTCTGCCTCAGCCTTCTAAGTCCTGGGATAACAGGCAATGAGTCACCTGTACTTGGCTCTGTAGGTAGTTTTAGTGTCCTTAATCTGAAATCTGGAAGTTTTCAGATGCTGACATCTAGTGCAAAAAATGTTTGTTTTTGGAGCATTTTGGATTTCTGATTTTCATAACAGGGATGCTTAACTTGTATATTCTATACAAATATTCTAAAATCTGAGGAATTCCAAAGTCTGAAACACTTCTAGTCCCAAGCGTTTCACCTCTTTATCATGGATTTAATCTATATATGTAGAATTTTTTTATAGACAGTGATTTGTAAGTATAAGTTAAAAGTACCTTAGGTCTAAAATTGCTGCAACAAACTTGTTTTTCCTGACAAGCATTCTAAAGAATTGTGTGCTCAGTTTTGAAGATTGTGATAATTACTTTTATTTGACTCAAGGATATGATTTCTCATTTCTAAGATATTTCATTATATTGTTAGAAATACCTTAATTAGATAGAAAACCTTTGATCAGCATTAATATGTTATATAGTACAGACAGCTGTGTTCTCTTCTGTAGACTATCCTGAAAGTCTCAAGAGTACTAATTGAAGATGTCAAAGAATGAATATCAGGATAATTTGTTGACTGGTTAAGCTAACTCATATGCCCTAATGTTTCCAGTTATGGAGAATCTTCCTTTTGGTTTAAAATGTATTCACAACATGCTCCTACAATTTTAATTCTCATTATTCCTATTACCAGCCTAAAATAACAATATGTTTTATACTGTTGTGGTACAAATGTAATATCAAGACACTGAATATTTGGGTTTAACAGGTTCAGAAAAACTAAATGTGTATTATTTCCTAGGTAATAATATATTGTTTTTGAAAGAATGTACTAATAAAGTATCTAGCTATATTCTTTTCTTTGTATTAACTTAGTTCATTAGCATTACTGGATTACCATACTGTAGTAGGGTTGCACATGATTTTTATTTTTATAGGAATGTACACATTTAGTTACATAATTATATTTTCTGAAGAATGAATTAAAGTCATCTTTCTCCAAAATTCAGGATGCTTCTAAATATTCTGTCCAATTTAGGTGTGGTGGCAAACACCTGTAGTCCCAGCTATCAGAAGAAATTGAGGGACAGGAGTTCCATGATGTGCAGTGCCCATAGAGACAAGAAAAGGGCATCCTGTCCCTGGATCTGGAGTTACAGTTATTAGCTGCCATGTGGGGGGTGGGAACTGAACCCAGGTCCTCTGCTCTTAACCACTGAGCCATCTCTCCAGCCTCAAGAACAGGAGTTTGAGGCAACATAGCAATATGGAGGCAGGGGGGACAGGACAGAATTATATCTGAGAATTTAGTTCAGAGGTATGTATAGGCATTTGCCTAGTATGCATGAAACCCTGCATTTAACCCCTAACACCTCAATAAACAAAAAACAAACATCTTTTTTTTTGGTCTTTTTTTGAGACAGGGTCTCCCTGTAGCCCCAACTGGCCTGGGACTTACTATGTAGACCAGGCTTGCCTCTGAACACATAAAGATCCACTGCCTCTGCCTCCCAAGTGCTGGAATTAAAGGCGGTTGCTACCATGCCCACCATTTTTTTTCTTTAAAGACCATGGCAAGCGAGAAGGCACACACCTTTAACCACAGCATTTAGGAAGCAGAGACAGGCGGATCTCTGTGAGTTCAAGGCCACCCTAGTCTACATAGTGAGTCCTAGGCCAGCTGAGGCTACAGGAAGATCTTGTCTTTAAAAAAAAGATCATGTTTAATATACTTAAAAATGTTTTCAGCCTGTGATCCTCGAACTTGGGCAGAGGAAGGAAAACATGAATTTGAGGCTAGGCTAGTCTACATAGCAAAGTCCCCACCTAGCAGGGGTATGTATTGTAACCTTCTCTCAAAAAACTAAAACAACAAAACAGTTTTTTTTTAATATTTTATTTATTATTTTTATTTTACTTATATGCGTGTATTGCCTGCATGTAGGTAAGTGCACCTGTGTCATGCAATGCCTGTGGAGGACAGAAGAGACTGTTGGATCCCCTGGAACTGGAGTTACAGACTGTTGTTAGCTGCCATGTGGGTGCTGGGATTTGAACCTGGGTCTTTTGCAAGAACAGTCAGTGTTCTTACCCGCTAAGCCATCTCTCCAGCCCTGACAAAACAAATTCTTAAAAGTATATACAGTAATTTACCTCCAAATTAGCATTTTCAAAACAATATTGGGCAATTAGCCTGAAAATATGATCTGGGATAATATATTTGCAAAAAAAAGTTTTAATTAACTTCATATAAGCAATTAAAAAACAAAGAAGCACTTACTCATCAAAACACTTTGAATAGAATCTGAGGAAACTCTGAAGAATATGAGCTTTCCTTCAAGATCATCCCCTAATCTGTATATTAGTAAGAAGCCTATAGTTATTTCAGACCATTACATTAATTGGTCAGCTCCCTAGACATGAGAATGAAGGGGGCTGGAGAGATGGCTCAAGAGCACTGGCTGCTTGTGCAGAGGACCTGGGTTTTCTGCTAGCACCCACATGGCAGCTAACAACCATCCATAACTTAAGTTCCAGAGGATGTAATGCCCTCTTCTGGCCTCTGAGCATTGCAAGACATGGGGACACTTACATATATGCAGGCAATGCACATATATACATAAATTTTGAAAAAAATTTAAAAAGAAATGAGGTCTAGCGCTATGAAGTACGAGTTTGCTGCTGCCATTAACAGTATACTACAGAAATATAAGTGCAGGGATTGGGAGATGACTCAGTGGTTAAGCTCTTACTGCACAAATGTGAAGATCAGAGTTCAGATCCCCAGAAACCCACTTAAATGCCAGGTAGGCATGGTGGCTTGCATGTAATTCTAGCCTTAGAAGGCAGAGATAATACCCCTAGCTGGCTAGCAAGACTAGCCATATCTGCAAGCTGAGTTTGACTGAGAGACCGACTCAGTGAATAAGGTGGAAGGAGCAAGAGAGGATGATTCCTGACATCAACCTTGGGATTCCACATGCACATGTGTGTATGCATACCCACACACATACAACCATGCATACAAACACATACAAAAACATCCCACTTATGAAAAACATGGGAAAAAAGAAATTTAAGCAGAAATATTGACTTTATAGTTCTGGAGACTAGAAGTGTAAAGTGTCAGCAGCTATTTCCTTTTGAGGGAGGGCTGTGAGGGGATGATGTGTTCCATGCCTCTGTCCTAGACTTATAGATGGCCACTGCCATATTCACTTGGTATTCTCCATGTCTCCAAATATTCCCTTGTAAAAGAACATAAGTTAGCCGGGTATGGTGGGGTATGGTGGCACACGCCTTTAATCCCAGCACTTGGGAGGCAGAGGTAGGCAGGTCTTTGTAAGTTCAAGGTCAGCCTGGTCTACATAGTGAGTCAGTTCCAGGACAGCTAGGGCTACAGGGAGATCCTGTCTCAAAAAGACCAAAAAAAAAAGGACATAAGTTATATCATGTGAAAGACCACCACAATCATAATATAAACAAAATTCTAGAAAGCTGTATCTTTAAAGGTCACAATGCTTAATTCCTAATAGGTATGTAAGAAAGCAAAACAAATTACTGTTCCGACACATCTTTTTTTGTTCTTTATTTGGAGACTATTTTATTAGTTTTTGTAATCAAATCTACCTAGTAAAACCTTACATACTTAATACAGTGTGTTAACTTTGAACAAATGGGAAAAATAAAACATTTCTAAACCCGATATGCTTATTAATTTCTATATAATGCCAACTCAACACAATAGGCTGGGATACTTTTCTGAAGTTCATAGCACAACTAAACTTTCCAAAAATTAAAATTTGTGTGTGTGTGTTTGTATTTTTGTCAAAGACCAATAATAGGAGTATGTTATACATAAGTTGCAACAACAGCTTCTCCAGGTTCTACAGTCATCTGAACAAAATGTAGGAGACATCCAGCATGATCCATTAAAAAAATACTAGGTTTTTCTTTTCTTTTTCGGTCTTTTTTGAGAGAGGGTCTCCCTGTAGCCACAGCTGGCCTGGAACTTACTATACTGACCAAGCTAGCCTCAATCTCAGACGGAGATCCACCTGTCTCTGCCTAGGTTTTGTTCTTAAACAGGGTCTCGGGTATCCCAGGTTGGCACTGAACTTGCTGTGAAATCAAAGATAAACTTCTGATCCTCCTGCCTCTACCTCCCAAAAGCTGAGGTTGAAGGCTTGTACCACCACACATAGTTTATGTTTATGCTGGGGATCAAAATGAGGGATTTCTATACTCTAAGCAAGCACTCTATCAAATGAGCTACATTACCAGCCCCCAGACTAGATTTTTCAAGTTAAAATCCAAGGTGTTAGAGGGCTGGAGAGATGCCTCAGTGGTTTAGAACACTGTTCTTGCAGAAGACCCAGATTGGAATCCTAGCACCCACATGGCAGCTAACAACTGTCTGTAACTCCAGTTCCAGGGGATCCAACAGCCTCTTCTGTCTTCCATGGGCATTGCACGACACGTACCTACATGCAGGCAATATACCCATACACATAAAAAATAATAAAATATTTTTTTAAAAAAAATCCAAGGTGTTGGGCTGGTGTTGCTCAGTAGCAGAGTGCTTATATGGCATGTTTGAGGCTCTAGATTCAATCTCCAATACCACGGGGTCGGGGGGATCTAAAGCATTGACTTTTGCCATCCTTTAAAAGGCTCTTTAGGCTAGGGGTAGTCAAAACACCCAAACAAAAAACTAGGAAACATGTCCAGCTTCTTTGAAAGTGTTTTTCCCTTATGACACTGCCCCCTACCACCTTTAGAACCACAGATCATTGCTGCTCATAGAACTAAGTTATACCAGTACAATACATTTGGACATGCAATTCCCAGGGGCAACTACTATAAACACGCCACAGTAAAATTACCTTTTATTTTTAGGGTTTCATAGACATGAAGTGTTCCTTGAGAAATGGGAGAATTATTTTCATGAAATAGACCTTTTTAATGATTGTTAGGCTTTTTGAAAACAAATGATTATGTATATGAGTATACTGTCTGCATTGTGTGTAAGTACACCTGTGTCGTGCACTGTCCGCTGAGGTCAGAAGGTGTCGAGTCAGACACCCTGGAACTGGAGTTATGGGCAGTTGTTATCTGCCCATGTGGATGCCAGGAATTGAACCCGGGTCCTCTTCAAGAGCAGTCAGCGCTCTTAACCACTGAGCCATCTCTCCAGCCCTGATTGTTAGGCTCTAGTAGAATATTTTTTTTTTCATCTTGTCTTTTAAATTTTTCATTGTAATCAAAACAACTGATATGTTTCAATAGAGGAGTATACAATTTATAAAAAGGTAGAATATGGTTCAGGCATGGTGGTGCACACCTTTAATCGCAGCACTTGGTAGGCAGAGGCAGGTAGATCTCTTTGAGTGTGAGGTCAATCTGGTCTACACAGTGTGAGACGCTGTCTCAAAAAAAAGTGCACATGCCTTTGGTCCCAGCACTCCGGAGGCAGAGGCAGGCAGATCTCTGTGAGTTCAAGGCCAGGTGGGGCTTCAGGGAGACCCTGTCTCAAAAACACCAAAAAAAAAGTTAGAATATAATGAATTTCAGGCTAGTCGGGAATACATAGTGAGACCCTGTCTTTAAAAAAAAAAAAAAATGATGCTAAAATGCAATTTTTCAAGACTTAACAGTCAGTACATTAGTTCCAAAAAAGTAATTTTATATTTCTACTTGATCAAGTCTCTTGGGCCCTTTCTCTGGATAAATATTTTTAAGTACTAAAGTGACTATAAATGATAGAAAGGCCACTAAAGTGCTTATTATCCGCAAGGCTTTGAACCAGTTGGGATAATGTGGTAAAAGGAAAAGTTCAAGGTGTAATGATATCCCTAAACCTATTATTACCATGACTATGGCTTCATTGAGTCTTTCAGAAAAGAGAACAGCTGACCATGAAAACAAAATAGGACCTATACTACTACCTAAATTAAGGTAGTCTGGTTTGGCTGGACTATTTTCTGGCAGAGCAAAGCCCCATCTGACCCCTCCCAAGAAAATTAGGAAACTGGCTCCATAAGCCATCTGAGCAAAAGCTAAAATGGGGAAATAAGTCTTTGTTATGACCATGATAAGTGGTGGAGCAATAAAGGGGATGAGCCCTGCCAGAGTTATATATAATGCTGGCTTCGGACTCTCAGGTAGGAAAGTGATGGTACTTGGTGGCCTGGCAGGACGGACTACTTCCTTGTGCTGCTTCTTAAAGTTGCATGGTGATGCATGATAGCATTGCATCTTCCTCATACATATTTGAAATGATGGGGAAAGCCAAGTCCTTGGATACAAAGGGAAAAAGTTCTGAAGAGATGTCTTGGAAGAGAGTGTATCTATTCTGTTGGCTCTGCATCTCATGGTAAAAGAGTTCTTCAGCATCTATAAAGGAAATAGAATCAGGAGACAAATTTTAGAAACAAGAACAAAAAAATCTACCAGATTTCTGGTTTTGAGGCGGGGTCTCTCTAGCCCCAGCTAGCTTGGCACTCACTTTGTAGACCAAGCTGGCCTTGATCTCACAGAAATTGGCCTGCCTTGGCCTCCTGAAGGCTGATTAAAGACATGTGCCACCACACCCAGCTCCCGTGTGTGTGTGTGTGTGTGTGTGTGTATTTTTTTTTTTTTTTTTTTGGTCTTTTTGAGACAGGGTCTCCCTGTAGCCCCAGTGGTCCTGGAACTCACTATGTAGACCAGGCTGGCCTTGAACTCACAGAGATCCACCTGCCTCTGCCTCCCAAGTGCTAGGATTAAAGGCGTGCGCCACCACGCCTGGCTTATATATATATATATATAAATCTATATATTTATATATTAATAATATATATATTAATATATATATTTAATTGCTACTGCCCTAGCCAGAACAGCTGTTGGCAAAGTGTTCATTATTTGCTGAAATAAACCAACCTTTGAAGATGCTCCAGAAAATCGCTGGATGAAGTGAAGCATATTGGTCTCTATTAACAGTCTTGTTCAGAAGATGCAGTTCTGATTAATGTATTTTTACAGCCAAATGGAGGGGCTGAATCTGAAGCATGTTGCTGTGTAGAAAACAAGATATCACTTAATTGTCATTTTATACATTCGTTTTTTAAAAGTAATATTTCATGACAGTCTCTTGCATGAAACACAATTTCTTTTTAAAACAAACACCGTTTGGGGACTGGAGAGATGGCTCAGCAGTTAAGAGAAGTGATTACTTTTGCAGAGGACCAGGGTTCAATTCCCAGCACCCACATGGTGGTTAACAATCATCTGTAGCTCCAGTTCCAGGGGATCTGATGTCTTCTTCTGACCACTGAGGGCACTGCACCACTCGGGTGCACTTATACACAGGCAGGCAACATACTCATATGCATAAATAAAAATAATATTTTTTAAATCACCTTTTAATTTTTTTCCCAAGAGGAACATATTAAAGAACAGACTCTTCTGGAACAATTCTTTTGGTTTTGGCTGTTTGGTATAACAGAAAGAACTGAAGATTTGGATTTTGCAAACACCTTTACCACTTCTTTGGGTGCCTTCTTTAAAACTGACAGAAATAACTTATTCTCTAATTATCTACCTTCCTTACTTGGGGGCCTGAGTTTACGCTTAAAAGAATGATAGCAGCAAGGAATATAGTTTAGCTGTGAGTCGGGTATTGTAACTACTTTTTCCACATACTAATGCTCCATATTTGGGAACTCCGTAACCACTGTGGCACGTGTTTTCGAATTCCGGAGTATTAAAATGAAAATGATAGCCTGACACCTAGAGACGGCAGGTGATCCGGAGATTAAGGAAAAGATCCCAAAGCTAATCCGCCCAATTCTGCTTTTCACCCTCAAATGTTCCCATTTCCCCCATGGGACAACTACATACTGGACGCCTCAAACCTACATCTTGGGAAAATGAGAGGCATTTAGACACAAGGATCCTTGGGACGTGTCGGCCAACCCTTAGTAACTCCGCCGACCCCTTTCCAACGAGTATCCTAAGCGGCCCAGTTACATACTTGCCAGCTTCACGGGCGGCGGAAAAGTTGAATATCAGACTGGAACGCAGAAACCGCACTTCCGGCAAGTGCAGTTACACTGCTTCACTTCCTGAGGTCAGAAAAAATGAGTCCGGGTTGGAACTTGCGCTAACTACTACCAATTCCCTTCTTTCCGTCTTTCTGTCTAGGCTATTCTTGTAACATCAGCCAAAGTGCTATGTATGAAAAATTTTTTCTAACTCTGCAAAACAAGGCGCTTTGGGTGGCCGGGACCTTATTCTGCGTTTGGCTCATACTGAGCGGTGACAGGTGTGGTGGCTCACGCCTTTAATCCCAGCCCGCGGGAGGCTAAGGCAGGCGGATCGCGTGAGTTCAAGGCCAGCCTGGTCTACATAGTGAATTCCAGGGCAGCTGGTGCTACAGGGAGACCCTGTCTCTGCTTGCCTAGCAAGTGAAAAAAAAAAAAAAAAAAAAAAAAAAAAAAAAAAAACCCACTGAGCGGTGGGTGGACGGCTGTGGGTTTACTTCCTCTCTCTTTGCTAGGACCTAGAAATTTCATCAAGGTATGAAGAGCACTAGGGGCAGAATTCACAATTCTATGAATCAAGGGCCTTGGGTTTGGAGGTCATCCAGAAAGTCACATTCTTCCTGCTATCCTAGCTTTTAATTTGTCCGCTCTGAGACTTAGTGCAAGTTTCCCCTTATCTGTGGTCAGTCGGCCAAAAGGAACCGGAACCAAACAATTTGAGTGTTAGTATACAAAAAGCTTAGGTTTTTATGCAAAAAGATGACGATAAATGGCAGCTCGCATTCCTCGGGTTTCTACTAGTCTAACTTCCTGATCGCCATGGTTCACAAAGGCTACTTCCAGTATGGCGATGCAGCAATGCCTCTTAGGCTTTCACGTTTAGTCCCTTCTCCGGTAATGGTAGTGCCGCCCCTTCCCGTGATGCAATATCCAATGAGACAGGTTTGGATCCTGTATTAGCAAAGACTCTGGCTGGGCCACAATTCGCCCTGCCCCAGGGCGGGGCTGCAGCGCCTGCAGTACCTAGGAACTACAACTCCCAGGGGGTAGAGCGCCAGACACTGCCGCGCATGCCTCTAGTGCTGGGGCCTCCAGCACGCTGCGGGCTGGAGTCTAAACGACGTTCGCCAACTGAAGGTGCGAAAGGTGTGCAGAGCTTTCAAAAGACGCTCTTCAGTAACTGGTTTGCTAATTCTGGTCCTGGAGACGCATCTGGGCCAGAAGCGAGATGTGAGAAGGTGAAGGAGGCATGGGCGGGATGACCTGTACAAATATACCCACCCACTCATTCTCGCGCATCTAGACGGGAGTTTGGGGCAGGGAAGTGCAAGGGCGAGTACTGAATTCGACTGGTTCCTGCTTCACGGGCTGCGCGAGGAAAGGCGAGCGGAAGGGAGAGGTCCTGGTGCAGAGCTTGGAGTCGCGCTGCCAGGCGCTGGGGACAGGCGGGCAATAACTGTCCCCGAGTCTAACCCAACATTTGTGGAGTCCGGGGTGGCTCCGCAGGCTGGCGAAGCAGGGCGAAGCAGGCGCGTGCGCGGCTGAGGTGGGCGTGCGGGGGGCGGGCAGGGGGAGGGCCCAGCTGTCGTCGTCCCTCCTCCACCCGCGTCGTCCCTCCTCCACCCGCGTCGCCCCTCCTGTCCGTAGTGGGCCGGGCAGCCATTTTGGGAAGAGCTTTGTTATGGTTGTGGGCTCGGCACCTCTGCCGGTCGGAGAAGGTCGGGACGCCACGGCTTGTCCTCGACCGTCGCGCCGCCGCTGCTGGTGAGTGGAAGCCGCGTGCGTACGGCAGTGGAAAGCCGTCGGGGCCGGGCGCGGGCCTCCTCCCGCTGCCAGACCTTCCGGCTGTGGAAACTAGTTGGAAGGAGGTCTGGCACAGGTGGTTGGCGTCGGCCGGGGGAGGGCGAGTGAGCCCCGCGGTGGACTTGAAACGCCCCCTTCCCCAGCGGGGAACCTTGCCCGCTGAGGTCGCCGGGGCTGTTCTGAGCGCACCTACTTCAACTTCGGTTACCGCCTCGGAGACGCTTACCTGCGGCTCTGGCTACTGCGGAGTTCCGGCTGCAGAGCGGTGGTGTTACTGGGTTTACGGGTTTCTTTTCCTTCCCTGAGAATACGAGTCGAAGGCTTGTTTTCCAATTAAGGGCAACTAGAGGAGGAAAAAGTCGTGCAAGTCAAATGTGGAGAATCTAGGGGAAAGGGGGCCTTTTCGCAGGCGTCTGGGTCCTTCAGATTGTCTTACCAGTTACTTGGCAAACCCCCTCCCCTAGGAAAAAAACAGTTGGCCGCGAAGTAACTTAACCAGTCATTTTTGTTCTACGTTAAATTTTACCTAGTCCATAAAATTCAAAGACTGAAACTAAAATGGCTGTAGCTTGGGGAAGTACCCTGCTGTTGGATCACTTAAATAACGTAACATTTTAGTCGTTTTTCCCTGTGGGACGTTAACTAGATCCTTTGAGCTTTTTTGCTGTTGGCATCTTTGAAGAAAGTAGGTGAGAACAAAGGTGAGGCTCAGGAAGTTTACATAAGATTGGGTGCGGTTTTTTGTTTTTGTTTTTGGTAGTTGCTTATGGTTCTGAAATTGTGCAGTGATCTCTTTTAATCTGCCAGTTTTTGTGCTCTTGAGATTGGCTTGTAAAATGTATTGAATAGTTTTTCTATTTCTTGCTTATGCGGAAGCCTGAAGTTAGTGATAGTTCATGTTTTAATTTAGTAATAGTCACTTCCCTCCCTAAATCCCATCAAAAAGTAATGTGAGAAATCTTCAGTAGACTGAAATTTGTGATTTATTAGTGTTAGTATTTTTTGACATCTTTCCCACCTCAGGTGCCATTAAAGCATGAACATTTTCAAAATGTGTAACTCAGTTTAACAGGTGAAAAATACTTAAGAGGTGATGTGCCTGATTTTTGTGCTTTTTTAAAAAAATATTTTTTATATGTATTGCCTGCATGTATGTAGGTACACCCTTATTATGCAATGCCCAGGGAGGTCAGAAGAGGACTCAGATCCCCTGGGACTGGAGTTGTGGGTGGTTGTTAGCCATCATGTGGATGCTGGGAATCAAATCCCCTGCCCTCTGCATGAGCAGCCAGTGGTCTTAACCACTGAGCCATCTCTTCAGCCCTGTTGTGCCTTTTTTTTAAACATAAGAGCTATCTTTTTGTTTGATGAAGCAAAACAATAAACACAAAAGTGCATGGATTTAGGCCGGGTGTGGAGGCGCACGCCTTTAATCCCAGCACTCAGGAGGCAGAGGCAGGCAAATCTCTGTGAGTTCAAGGCCAGCCTCGTCTCTGTAGCGAATCCAGGCCATCTGTGCTACAGGGCGACCCTGTCTCAGAAAGACCAAAAAAAAAAAAAAAAAAAAAAAAAAAAACCCATGTTAGCAAAAGTGCATGGATTGGAAACAAAATAAATTTTGATTTTGGAAAAGGTGTGCAAGTTCAGGTAGCTAAATTCTGTTCACAAGTAAACTAGAATGCAAATTGTGACTGGAACTGAGGTCCATGAACTGTCATCCTTTCATAATTTTAATTACCTTCATTCATTCTTTCAAACAGAAAAGTTTATTTTTGTCTATCCCTCTAGGAATATTTTTTTTTTTTTAAGTTGTATGTGTGGACATGTACCTTGTGTGGGCATACCTTTGGATCCCCCTGGAGCTGAAGTTGCAGGTGGTTGTGAGCTGCCTTATATGAGTACTGGGAACTGAAAGAACAGCAAGTGCTCCTAACCACTGAGGCATCACTCAGCACACTCCCCCCATGCCCGTTTTTTTCCAGACAGATCTCACTATGATTTGCTATCCTGAAACTTTATGTAAACCAGACTGGCCTTAAACTCAGTAGTGAATTCACCTGCCTCTGCCTCCTTAGTGCTGAGATTGAAGGCATGTACCACCACTCCTGCCCACGCTAGGAATTACTTTGTTGGTCTAGAAGAAAATCATTTAAAGTTCTCTGTAGAAGTTAGAAGTTAATTGCTTTCTGTTTTGATAGTGTTGCTGTCAACATTTAGGTGGGACCTTATCCCTTACTGTGATTCTTTTTTTTTAAATATATTTTTATTTGTTATTTTTATGTGTATGAGTGTTATGCCCGCATGTAGGTAAGTGCACCCGTGTCATGCAATGCCTGTGGAAGACAGAAGAGGCTGTCGGATCCCCTGGAACTGGAGTTGTTAGCTGCCATGTGGGTGCTGGGATTTGAACCTCAGCCTTCTGCAGGAACGGTCAATGTTCTTATCTGCTGTGCCATCTCTCCAGCCCCACTCTAATTCTTTTACTACCTTTTTTTTTAAGAGTACTCAAAATACTTTGCACATGTTGCTCTAAACATTCTTTCAGTTAACTATGGATTATGTGTTTTCAGAGCTCTTGAAATTCAGGGGAGGGATGGGAAGCCTTTATTTTTAATATAACAGTTTTTCTTATCAGCGGTTGTTCAAAATATTAGTTTAAGAAGAGGATATATTTAATCATTTTAATAACTTAGGAATAATAAATCAGGCTATATTTCTGTATATGTGTTGTATACATACATTGTATACATTTTTTTATTTTTGTATACATTGTATACATTTTTTATTTTTAATGTTGGAGATTGAGCCCAGAGCCTAGTGCACTCTAGGCAAGTGTACTATCAATAAACTATATACTTCCGGCTTATATAATTCCCTTTTAAATGCTCAGTTAAATATAAAATATAATGCTGAATCCACTTTCAGCAAAATAGCATATGTTAATTTTATGGTTTAAGTCTATTTAATGTGCCAGGGAGACACTGTTGTTCAAAGTGCTCTCTATATATTACTCTTACGTTGTGAGTAGATAGTATGGGTTTTTTTGTTGTTGTTGTTGTTTTTTTAACATTCTTGGTACTGGGGATTGAACCTTGGGCCTCATCCATGTTAGAATACCATTCTACCACTGAGCTGTATCCCTAGCATTTTTGTTTTGTTTTTTAGACTTATTTTTTGAGATAAGGTCTCTCTAAATTGCCTTGGTAAATCTTGAACTTGATTATACCCTGTGTAGACCTTGAACTTGTGACCCTGCTGCATAGTTGGAATTACATGTGTACATCATGCCTGGCTATGTAGGTGTTTTATTCATTTTTTTAAAATATTCTATTTATTATTTTTATTATTTTATGTGTATGAGTGTATTGCCTGGATGTATGTGGGTGCACCCGTGTCGTGCAATGCCACAGAGGTCAGAAGAGGGCTTCAGATTCCCCTAGAACTTAAGGACGGTTTGTAGCCGCCGTGTGGATGCTGGGAATTGAACCCCGGTCCTCTGCAATAGCAGTCGGTGCTCTTAACTGCTGAGCCATCTCTCCAGCCCCCTTATTCCTCATTTTGTAGTTGAGAAAAATGAGGCAGAGACTCATTTGGCTAATAGGCCATTGAGTTTATATCCAAACCTAAGCAGCCTATGTCATTGTGCTTGGCTGCTGCCTTTTACTGGGAAGTTTGGAGAGGTTTTTGTGTGGTTGGTGGTGGGGGGTGGGGGTCTGTTCTGTTTTGTTTTGATATCTCGAGACAGGATCTCACTATGCATTTCCAGCTGGCCTGGAATTCACTATGTGTAGACTAGTCTTTCTTCCAATTCTGAGATCCACTGGCCTCTGCTTCTGGAGAGCTGGGATTAAAGGCATGTATCACTACACCTGATCTTGGTTACTTATTTGGTTGGTTTTTGCAGTAATAAGGATTTGAATGCAGTGCCTCATACATCCTAAGCAAGTGTTCTGCCTTCAGCCCTGCCTGCTTTTACACATGAAAGTTAAACCATTGGAATAAGAGGTGTAAATCATTTTAAGGGATCCTAACTCTGAAAAATGGTTCATAGAAAATGAAAATTTAGAATCTGGGCATGGTGGCACATGCCTTAAATCCCAGCAGAGGCAGGTGGATCTCTGTGAGTTCCAGGCACCCTGGGGCTACAGGGAGAAAAAGATCAAAAGGAAGAAGAAAAAAGGAAACTTTAGGACTGACAAGGTAGCTCAGCAGATAAAGGCACTTGCTGCTAAACCTGACAATCTGAATTTAATCCATGGGACTCGCATGGAAGGAGAGACGAACTCCTGCAAGTTGTTTTGTGACCTCCCCACTCAAACTGACACATGTGCTCACAGACTCACACCCAATAATAAATGTAATAAGAAAAGAAAAACAAAATTTGGGCTGGAGATAGCTCAGTGGGTAAAGCACTTTCATGAGGACCTGAGTTCAGATCTCCAGAACCCAGGTAAAAGCAATTCACACCTGTAATCCCAGTGTTCCTACAGCCAGATAAGAGAATCCCGGAAGCTGTGGGCCAGCTAGCCTGGCATATGCTGCAGCAGACAAGAGACTTTCTCTCAAACAAGTTGGAAGGTGAAGGGTGATAACCAGAGGTTGTTCTCTGACTTCAGCCTGCAAAGTGGTACATGTGCACCTGCCTTCACAAATGGATACACAACACACATGCACAGAGAAATTTATTAAAAAGAAAAAAAAAAGGCAAATTTGGGTTTGTGTAAATGGGAGGGATCTAGGTGGGGCACAGATCAGATCACATATTACTTCATAAGTCACTGTAGTTACTGTTGTCTGGAATTTAATATGTAGTGATTCTATTGGAGATAGAACACTTCAAGTTACTTCTAAATCAGACCTAATGATTTGTTTGCCTTTGAAATTTGCACCAAACAAAACTACCTACAATTAGGAAAAAAAGATTCTTTAAGAAGAATTGAACTTATTTTTCTCCACAGGTA